ATTTGTTTATAAGCTTTGGTATATAAGCTCATAAAATCTCAATTAGATCATTTGTCAGTTATTTCCACGGCAGGCACCACACCAAAACCCTCCCATTCCAATATCCTTGGAGAATATGAGTAGTTTAACGTCTTTATATTTATTTGGTAACCAACTTACAGGGAAAGTGCCTTGTCCTGCATTATCTTCTTCCTGAACAAACTTAGATCTGTTTGGTAATATTTTTAATGCTACCATTACCCAATGCATAGGAAGCCTTTCCAAACTTGAATATTTGTATCTTGGTTCAAACAACTTTGAAGACATAATCACCGAATCCTGTTTCTCTAATCTTTCCCAATTACAAGAGTTGTACTTGTCTTCCAACCCAGGCATCTCCTTCAATATCATGTTAGGATGGAATCTTCCTTTTCAACTGACACATGTATCTTTAGCGGACTGCAAAGTGGGTCCACATTTTTCCATATGGCTTAGAACACAAACAAGATTAGAGGATCTTGATATCTCTAATGCTGAAATTTCAGGCACCTTCCCTGATCGTTTTTGGGAGTTAAGTCCAAAATTATGGATTTTAAATGTATCACATAACAATTTTCTTGGTGTCCTTCCAGATTTGTCGCTAAAGTTCTCTATTTTTGATTCGATAGATCTAAGCTTTAATCATTTCAATGGTTCATTACCAATTTTGCCTCTGAATGGATCTATAGTTTAATATCTTTATATTTACAAGGTGAGATTCCAATATCCTTGGGGAATATGAGCAGTTTAATGTCTTTATATTTACATGATAACCAACTCAAAGGGAAAGTGCCTTGTCCTGCATTATCTTCCTCATTAACAGACTTGGTTTTTTCTTATAATATGTTTAATGGTACCATTGCCCAATGCATAGGAAGCCTTTCTTAACTCGAAGCTTTGTTTCTTCGTTCAAACAACTTTGAAGACATAATCATTGAATCCCATTTCTTTAATCTTTCCTAATTACAAGAGTTGTACTTGTCTTCCAACCCAGGCATCTCCTTCAATATTAGTTTAGGATGGAATCCTCTTTTTCGAATGAAACGAGTATCTTTAGTGGACTACTATGTGGGTCCACATTTTCCCACATGGCTTAGAACACAAACGAGATTAAAGGATCTTGATATCTCCAATGCTGAAATTTCAAGCACCTTCCCTGATTGGTTTTGGGAGTCAAGTCCAAAATTATGAAGTTTAAATGTATCACATAACAATTTTCGTGGTGTCCTTCCGGATTTATCGCTAAAGTTCTCTACTTTTGATTTGATAGATCTGAGCTTTAATCATTTCAATGGTTCATTACCAATTTTTCCTCCGAATGGATCTGTAGTGGATTTATCGAGTAACAAATTTTATGGGTCAATGACCAATTTATACAATGAAACTGGTTACTATTGGGAATATCTTGACCTCTCAAATAACTTACTCTCTGGGCAGCTTTTGAATTGTTTTGCAAGCCTACTGTATTTCTAGCGCATAAACAGTTTCACTAGAGAAATTCCAACGTTGTTGAGGAATTGTACTTCCTTGACTTTTATTGATCTTTCCCAAAATAAGTTGATTGGTAATATACCTATATAGATGGGAGATACTTGAACTGAATTGGTCTTCCTAAGTCTCAGGTCCAATGAGTTCTTTGGTGATATTCCTTAAGTGTTGGACTTTTCTTTAAACAAGATTTCTGGTGGTATACCAAAATGCCTAAACTATCTCACGGCTATAATTCAAGTGGATTCAGAGTTTGATAGGGCATTTCGTCTTCTATACTATGGAGGCTTCGAGAGTGCATTTGTAACATGGAAAGGAAAGGAAGCCGAGTACATAAATACTCTTAATTTGGTGAAACTCATTGATCTTTCAAGCAACAATTTAGTAGGTGATGTTCCTGATGAAATTACCAGTCTTGTAATGGTAGTTGGATTGAACTTTTCAATAAATAACCTATCTGGATTCCTTCCTACAAATATTGAACGACTAAGGACTTTGGATTTTCTTGATTTTTCGAGAAACCGCTTCTCTGGTGGTATTCCTAGTGGTGTTTCTCAGGTAGATCAACCTGGAGTGTTAGATTTGTCATACAATAACTTCGCAGGCAAAATTTCACAAAGCATTCATTTACAAACTTTCAATGCTTCTGCATTCAAGCGAAATCTTGTACTTTGTGGCCTTCCACTTACAAAAGCTTGTTCAGGAGATAAAATTGCTCAGATCCCGAAGACCAATGATAATGCTAATGGGATGAAAACCCCAGAAGATGAGGACAACCTTATCAATGATGGATTTTACATTAGTATGGCAATTGGTTTTATTTTTGGATTTTGGGGAGTGTGTGGAACTTTAGTGTGCAATAACTCGTGGAGGATTGCATTTTTCAAGTTGTGGAATAGCGTAATGGATTGGTTGTCCTTAAAGATAGCTGTCAATAAAATTTGACTCAAAGAAGCATATCACGAATTTGTAAAATTTTAGCATGTGTGATATTGTCTACTAGCTAACCTTTACAATGCCTAACTCTCAAATGTGCTTGCTTTTCAATTGTATATAGTTGTATTGCATTTACAGTTGTACGATGTAATACATATACGTGCTAAGGAAATATTTGTGTATTTTGTGAATCCTTGTAATTTATGAGTTCATAGTTCAATATATATTCATCATATGATTAACCAATAAAACATAATATAAAAGAATGGATATGCCAAATCAAATGGATGTGTAATATATTTGTTTGGTACAGTGAAGTAGACCAGACTGGATTAAACTACAAATAGCTGAATCATGCAACCAATATTGTGTCTAATGTAGTAGTTCTTTAAGCTTTAATGTTCATTGCTTCTTTTGACAAAAAAAAAATAAATAAATAAATAAAATTTAAAAAACCACACACATATACAAAAACTATGAGTAAATGGAATACCATAAAAATAGGTTTCCAAACAAAATATTTAAATAAATCTCAGGTTAACTTGGTTTCAAATCTCAGTGTTAGACAACTAAATGCACAAAACTACTTGTTCATGGAAAAATCAATTACAGAGATTCAGTTTATCAAATTAGACATAATTTGAATAGTACCAAGACTTGGTTGTTTCTAATGGTGAATACATTTTTTCCAAAATCGACTTGATAAAATACAAAAATTTATGAATAACATCTTACCGTAGAGAAAATAAAGATAGCCCCAATAACAATTCTAAAAAATTGGTGCATGTCTCAAGAACAAATGTAGCATGTTCGTTAAGAATCTAATGGTCAAATAATTCGACTCCGCTGACAGTCTGGGATCTGAGTTATATATGTTGATTTCATGAGAACAAGCACCATTCCTTTTCCACACCAAACCCACATTGCAAGTACTTTTGTTTCAAGTTCCTACAGCCCTACTAATAACACTAATGAGGTCAAATAAATATTTTCTTGATAAAATGCCTCTACATATAACACTGAAATTTTCAATTTTGTTTTAAAAGAAAGAAACTAGGCCAATGATTTTTATTGCTTGATGAAATGGGAAGCATGGAGACAGGGGAGGCATGGACAACAATGCATTTAAGACTCTCAAAGTACGCAATGTACAATAATCTCTAGATAACCTCATCAAAGTTCAACAACCCATCAACTCTCTCCCTTCAACCCAGTTATGTTTTTTGTGTTGTGGGTCTGCGTACAATTAAAGCAATTGAAACATTTTGCTTTGACAATTAAATTTAAGTAAATGACTTGAGTTTATTTGAGCTTTCTCCATGAAAGTATGAACTGCAAATTCTTTCAAACTCTACAATAATTCATTCTTTGTTTTCCAACTGAAGACCATGTCAAAGATTGAATATAGGACGAGAACAAATCACCGTTTGGATGTGGGTTCAGATGAACTTGACACTCTTGATTCTTAGTTTCTAAAAATGTTACTAAACAAGAAAAGTAGGAAATGAGTAAGGTATTGAACAGCTAAATTATCACACAATATGGACACTTGCATGAAGTAAAGAAACAATCTTAAATAAGTATGCCGTGCATAACATATATCTCCATGAAACGACACAACTCAAGACTCTGCAAATGAACGTAAATAAAGAAAAAGATTAGTTTACTTGCCTATATAAAAGATAAATAAAAAACATTGTGCCTCCACAAAACTTTGAACATATAGAAAGGAATGCATATAAATTTTATTGAACACAATTTTTTAAAATATTTACAAACCAATTAATTGTCCATCCATTGCTCTCCAATTACACAAATTAATACACAACAATTAGTAAATACAAATATACTTGACCAGATTTCAATTGAACAATTAAATACAATAAACGCATAAAATTAAATATAACCACATAGTAATTCAAAAAGTAATTAACACTCCAAAAACTTATTGTCTAAAAAATAAATATTTAAACCTGCCAGGAGACTGTATAATCAACAAATAAATTAGGTTTCAAAAACTGTACATTTATTAACAATGACAAAACTTGAATTTGCATTTATGTTCTTTGAAAAGACAATGAAAAGCATCTTCAAGTCAAGCTATAAATCAATAGTATGAATATGTTTTCTATTTGTACACGAGTATTGACTATTCTGAGATTGAAATATTCATATGCTTGATATATCAGATCAGAAGCTTTAGTATGGAATTATAAATTTATAGATGCTACGATGTGAAAACCTCATCAATTGTTAAGCAGGTTTTCAACTCACACAAAACATCCTGACGAGTAATAGAATAGTCATTTATACTATTTGAACAAATTATATAATCATGAGGAAAAGAAAGTGTAACAACTAAGTTTTAACTAAGATTAACAATCCCATTTTTCAAATTTAGAAAGAGACAATGAATTGGTAATTATGAATATGTGGTTGAAAGTAACAACTAAAAAAAAAAAAAAAAATCTATAGAATGTATACAAACATAAGCTAAATTTGGCTGGTGAACGAAAAAAGAAAAGAAAATCTGGAAATCATTACAACGACATTTTGTGTAGAAGGGTGCCAATTTTTTTTTTAAAATGCATCATTATTACATCACTAAAGCGAGTCATTTTTGTTGAAACTATCAACAATTGTACTTTGAAATTGAAGTAGGGTTTTAAGTTTTATCTTCGGATATGCCTATTTTATAAATCTAGTATTTTTCTGATAAAAAGGGAACATTTATGTCTAATAGATTTAAAATGTAGAAGTTAAATTCAAATAAAAATATACGTCACATAAAATTTATCTAAATTTTTATATTTACATGACTTAGCACAAAGTGCAAGTGATTTTAGTGGTGGCAGTGAGTCGGACATCTTTCTAGACCAAGCTCACATTTAAATGAGCTTAGAGTTGAGCCAAGCTCGATTTGTAGCTCGACGAGCAGAATTGAGCGTTTATTGGCCTACGATGAGGTGGACCTCATTTAAAAGAGGGAGTAGATATTTTAAGTTGCATTTAATTTTTTTACAAAGTTTTGCATACTCTCTCTCTCTCTCTCTCTCTCTCTCTCTCTCTCTATATATATATATAAGGATTAGTGGGCCAACTCGTCTGTGTCCTACACGAGCTAGGCTCGTGGATCGAGCACGCCTAACCTCTATGCGCAATTCATTTACCAATGACCAAGCATGTTTCCAAGGGCATAGCTCATTGGCATCCTATGGGCCTGCTTTGAGAGTTTTATTTTTACCCGTTTTGGGTAGTACCATTTATGAAGGATTGAAAAAATCGGTGTTTGCTAATTATTATTATTATTATTATTATTATTATTATTATTATTATTATTATTATTATTATTATTATTATTATTATTATTTTTGCACCAATTTAACCATCCAAAATTGGTATAGTGAAAATTTGACCATTTCACTCAATTTACAAAATCGATGGATTTTAACCACTTCTCAAATACTCTTCAAATTTTACACTCTACAAAATAATTATTTCAACTAATAAATTTTGTTCAAAACTAACTTGTAAGAAAACTTGAACATTTCTCCAATTCACAAAATCGATGAATCTTGACCATTTCTTATATTCTCTTCTAATTTTACCCTATAAAATAATTATTTCAACTAATATGTTTTGTTCAAAACTAACTTGTAAATACATTAACTAAAAAATATTTATAAGTAAAAAATTACTTATAAAATAAAAAAATTGTAAAAATTTATTTATAAAGTAAACTTTCAAAACCGTAAGATAATAAACTCCCATTTTAAAAAAAAATCACTTTAAAAATAATTAACCCCATTTATTTAAAATTTAAAAATACACATATCAAAATTACTTTATGGTTTATTTTCTAAATCCGTTTGATACATTTATAAATAATTTATTAAAAGTAATAGGAAAAAGAATAGTATTGATTCATAGGAAATGTATTGACAATAGAGTGTAGTGATGCAGGATAAAGAAAAGAACAGCAAGAAAGGGGAAGAAATTGGAGAAGAATCAAAAATTCAAGGAGAAAGGGGAAGAGGGAGACGCCACAACCAATTTCAATTCATCATAATCATCAATACTAATGAAATTACATGGCAAATTAGATTTAAATAATCAAAACAAGACCCTACCTAAAGCGGGTTTGGGTCAATACAAGCCCAATTATATAAATAAGAATTTCAAAACATAAATAAAGTCCAACTTAAAAAATAAAAAATAAAAAGTAGATGTCCTCATCAACTCTCCTAGGGTGGGAGAAAACTTGACCCTGTCAAGTGGATAGATCACAAAAGCTACAATCAAACTGATACTCCAAATGCTTCAAGTCATACCACGGTGGACGATCTTTCTGACGAACCAAGTATCGAAACTCCAAAAATAGTTTGACCCCTATTAGTTGGCACCTCTCTCTTGGAATCCATGTATAGTTCAAATCAAGTAGAACGACCCAACAAGCAAAGAAGTATTGAATCTCGCTATCATTGGTCAATACAACACGTTCATTTAAAATAACATCAATTTTATCTTCATGTATTGTAATAGATGGTATTGAAGTAAAAATATCAACAAAGTCAAGTTGGGGGTCCACAAAGTTAAGTAGAAAAGGATCATCCAAAGAAATAAAATAGTGTTTGTAAGTAATAAAGTCCTCAATATTTAAAGTGGAGCAGTAGCTAAAATGTGATGAGAGATCAATGACGTATGTATTTTGACCAGCATGTTTTAAAATTTTAAAAGGATCAACACTACATGCTTGCAATATAACATAATCTCCAATATTAAATTCAAAATTTCGTATATGCAAATCAGCTTGAAGTTTATATAATGCATTACTTGCTTCAAATTGTTTATTGATCTCAATATGCAAGTCATGAAGATGATAGATAAATGCTTTAGCTAACAATGACACACTAACATGCAGGGACATGGGAATAAGGTCTAACGATCGTCTAGACACATGACTATGAACAACTTCAAATGAATTTAGACCTAAAGATCGATTCACAGAA